CTCTCATAGCTGTCAAAATCCTAATCATTTAAACTTAAGTGTCAAAAGTTAAAATTAAACAATAACAATACTTTATTTATCATAAGAATATAAAAACTAAAAAGTATAGTGACTTACAGAGAATGATCTACACGCCTACTAAGTAGAACTACCGCAGGAGAAACAACTGAAGGTGAGGCAGGAACTTCTTTACAACATTTAGCCTCGTAAGCTTGAAAAAGCTTTTGCAAGTTATTCTTAACAGTCTCCAACTTCAGTACGGCAGTATTTGAATCATAAACTTTGTTAAAGCGTACTCCACAAACTGAACTTGAGACGTGGGTCAAGAATAGTTGCAATCGTCAACACAAAAAAAAGATCCCAATATTTTGTAAATTTTGGGATCATTGTTTTGCCATGCTCTTAACAACTTCATCCTCACTCGTACTCTCTTCAATTAAACGCAATTGAATTTCCCACACACATTTCAAGTACAAGTTTGCTGAGATATTTAGAACCTGGAATAAAGTCGTAATATCATTAAATGGTTCCAAGAACTTGCATATCCTCTCCCCCCTATCCCATTCTTCATTTGTGGACAAAATTTATAACTAGGATCTATTGTTGACAAAGCCACAAACACGGGACAATATTAACGCTGTATCAAGCATTAAAAATGTCGATTCCATCTAGTGGAAACATCCAATCTCAACCCCATTAGCTTTTCACTCCCTTTGTACAGCAAGTTCTCCAAACTTGATTCTCCTAGCCTCAGTTGCTTTAATATATTTCACACTATCTCGAATCTTATTCAGCAACACTAGCAGCTCTTAACCCTTCTTGAACAATAAGATTCAGATATGTGCAAACATCGCACATGGAAAAATTCACCTTTACATAACAAAGCATTCTGCACACAAGCTGGTTCCTCAAGATATCCTCCATCCTATCTTACTACTTGCATTATCCAAAATAATTGAGAAAATTTTCTTTTCAATACCCCACTCTTCAAGAAATTCATGATATTTTCTGCCAAAACAACCCCTGAGTGTGGAGGAGGAATATACAAAGTCAATATTTTATTCGGTAACTCCCAATCCTCATCTATATATGAGCTGTCAAAGAAATAATCCCTCAGTTGTACCAGAAGTCCAAACATCAGAAGTTAAGCATATTCTACTTGTCAGCCTCCCTAATTCAAACTTAGTTTTTTTCTTCATCCTTTCAAATTTTTTAAGCAATCCACCTTGAGCGTGTTCCTAGAATAATGCACAAGCTCATTACACACATATGAAAAGCTCTCCTAGTTCCTTGATTCTCCACATATGAATATGGATAGTTATGTTGAATAATTGATAAGGCCATATATTCCACGAAAGTCTCTTGACTAATCTTTCTACTTTGCAATCTATGATTATGTCAATCAATAATTGCCCTACATCAGGTTGGCACGTTTTGGACAATTCTGTATATGACGCTTCATATTTTTAGTCCCATGTGTGGCACTACCATATGCATAAGATTTACGCATGCCTTACACCTAGTCCTTTCAGTGTTATTCCAACATATATCTCAAATAATTCCAAACTTCTGATGTTTTACGTTTATTTCTAGAACTAGTTGTAGATACTAGAACTAGAAGGGAGTGGCATTACCCTAGAAGCATCGTCACTTGCTCTCACGTTAACCATATGTATCTATAGTTTCTGAATCCGCCATGTCAATGCTTGAGACAACAAAAAAAAATATATATATATATTATATTATTTAGTTCTCTCACACACACTCAAAGGATAATACAATAAAATAAAGAAACAAACATCAAGAAATAAACTTTCAATTGATGATTAACTATATATTAATTGATAATGGATTAACTATATATCTACTAAACGAACTTATCCTCCCTCTCCATCACTAATTTTTTGGTTGCTCATATGCCTCTAATTATCCATAAACAAATATTTTTTATTTACAATTAAAATTTAGTCATGTAAATTTGGACCTGGGTATATTTTCTCGGTTTGGGTTTGTTAATAATAAGACCCATATACTTCTTAGGAACTTTGAAATTTCTGTATGATCTGTTTTGTTGTTCTCTAATTTAAATAAGAGAATATACATCTTGATTTTTCTATGTTCTCCCATTTCACTTATAATTGATTAGTTTAACAAAAATAAAGCAATTATTTAGAAATGCATATAAATTTTTGGTTTGATTTATTTGAATATGAGTTGAATGAGAATTTTGACAGCCCAGAATCCGATTAGGTCTGTGGTTGGCCACATTTCTGCAAATATTAAGTAGAACTGAAACTGGGCCTTCGTTACAGCCTTACAGGAGCAGGTATCAAATATTAATGCTTCCACTCACCACTCTTCACATAACCTTCTTCCATATTAGATGGCAAAAGAGTTTTCTGTGCTATTTCTTATTCTATAGAATTAGAGCCCACCAAAATTGTTCCATTTTTTTTATTAAATATACTGGCACATAAAATCATTTATGCAATGGAAGAATTTAATTTATACCTTCATATTATTGCATAATCCAGTTGATGTTTATATTTTTATAAGCTATTGTCAGCATCAATTCATCGGCAGTTTCATTATGTTATATTACCCAGATTCTACTGCAATTGTTAGACCATGAAATGTAAGTTTAATTAATTGTTAGAAAATCTAATAGAATCATAATGCAAATCTTTTTGGTGTAGTCATGCAATGCAGACGACTACTGCAATACCATCTAGTAAGATCGATGCTCCCAAATTGCTAGTAAATTATCATCATATTGAATATCACAAATGAGACAATGCTACCAAAACAACCCAATTCTTCTTCAACGTGTCATCTTCAACTACATACCAACTACTGTAAAACTGTAAATACTATAAACAATTAAACATACATGCCGTTTAGGATGCCATGAAAAGGCAAATGACTGCAAAAACTTATTGATTTCCAACTAAATGTTTCACTAATCAATTCTCTAAAACAGACTCAAGAAATTTGTACAATATCGGTGCTCTTGCATCTTACTTGCTATTACTAGCCGTACCCAGAAGATTAAATAACACATTGAAAGCGATATCAAAAGACATCCACGGATCTAAGTGAGCTCTAACCAATTCTTTTTCATGTGCTTAAATTAATTAACCTCATTAGCAATGTCATCATCACTCTATTCTAATCACCATTATAATATGATTAACAGACAACACAAACACAAAGCCACTCAAAGAAAAACCAAACCAAACCAAACCAAGGCAAAATACATTTCAAATGTGTAGAAACGTACTGATGACTGATGATTAATCGAAGAGGGAGTTGAGAGACAAAAGATGACTAGCCGACGATGATGAGTGAGGGCGACCGGCGACGGACTGGATGAATGAATCAGGTGACTGCCGTACTGATGAGTGACGATTAATCGAAGAGGGAGCTGAGCTACTGAGGTACGAAGAAGATGGCAAAGAGGGAGATACTCAGTTGACTGATCAGAGATTGAAAGGCTTATGTTGAAGATTGAGATGCGAGAGAGATGACTGATGAGAGGAGACTCAGGAGAGGCGTAGCGCTAGCGCGGGATAGAAGAGTCAAGAATTAGGGCTGGGCAGTGGGCAGGTCAATTTTTATATTTTGCAAAAACGGGTACCCGCGGGTACCCGCGGGTTCACCCTTTTAACCCGTCAGTTATACGGGTTGGGCCGGGTACGGGTCCAAAAAAATGGGTACAATTTATTAGACCCGTACCCTATATTTTTTTCCTGGGTACGGGCCGACCCGCGGGTCCATACCCGTTTTGCCAGGTCTATCAACCAGTTATTTAAATCTCGATAACATGAGTAAATTTTCCTTGTAGAAAAAGAATTGTCACCTAATTAAAGGGAGTATCATGAGTCTACCATTTTTTAATATTGAACCAAAAAGGAAATTTCCAATTATAAACACAATAACACATTTCTTTCATTTATCAGTTAGAATTTTACTTCCAGTATTCTCGAGCATTACCTAGTGAATGGTATATATTAAAGTTCGTATTACACGAGCACTTTAGAAGTGGACCGTAACGTTCAATATTTGCCAGACAACACCAATCTTAATCTGTGTTCACATTTGAATTGACGTGGCGCGCGTGAGAACCTCCGTTCGCAGCAGGCTACCTATCACCCCTCCTGATTTATCATGCTTGATTGCGGTGTACAAAATTAAAATTAACTTGGTATTTTCATAGATTTAAAATTACTCTTTATATAATTAAAACTCTTTATTATAAAAAGTTTATCTATAGAAAAAAGAGTTTAACAGATTCTTTATTCTTTAAATATAAATTAAAGAGTGAATTTGACTCTCCACATTTATAGAGTTAAATTTCACTCTCTATCTTAATTTTAAATAATAAATTGTAAGTTTTTATACATTTTATTTATGATTTATCTCTCCTATTAAGTTTCTTTCTTGAAAAAATATATCCCCTCTCCTAAAATTTAAAAAATCTATTAGATTTGAATAAAAATTTTGTTCTTTATATTTAAAAATCAATGAAAATGCTATTTATTTATATAAAAAGTACTCTTTATTCGAGATTCTCTAACATTTTATATTGATTTCTCATTAAATGCATTAAAACTAGGAAAATAATAGAGACACCGGGAGTAATGCACCGAATAACGTGGTGAAATCCTGACCGTTTATTAATATAACTTAATATTAATAAACGGTCAGAATTATGTCACGTTATTCGGTACACAAATTCGATGTACTACTTCCGATGGCTATAGCATTACTTTTAAAACAAATATTAATATTTTATATTCTAAAGTGAGATGACAACTGCAATTCATTGGAAATTAGAAAAACAAAGAAAAGGAAACGGAGTAAAAAAGCTTTACGGATGTACAAATACAACACGCTTGTATGGCTAAATTTGTCACCACAAGTCCAACTTCACGAGAAAAATATGACCCCTTTCATGTGGTCTTGGATATCCATTTTTTCTGTTTAAAAGGAGTGTAAGGCATGAGTATGAGTAGCCATATTAGCCTAGCACATTACATTTGATATAGAAGCGCAATGGCTGCAGTAAAAATTCCTCATATGAATGCAGGAGATGGAGAAACTAGCTACGCCAAAAACTCTCTCCTACAGGTCTTTTTATTTTTCTTTCATCAATTAATTATCACTAATTAAATTATTTTTTACAATGATTTTGTTTCTCAATTTTATGTTAAAATGAATATCAGAAAACAGTGATATTGAAGGTGAGGCCATTCCTGGAAGAAACTATCAAAGATATGTTCAGCTCCTCTTCCCCAACTTGTTTTAAAGTTGCAGATTTAGGATGCTCATCAGGACCTAATACCCTTTTGGTCGTATCCGAAATCATAGACATCATTCAAGGAATATGCCACCAAGTCAACCGTAAATCACCTGAGTTTCAAGTGTTTCTCAATGATCTCCCAGAAAATGACTTCAACAGCATCTTTAAGTCTATTCCTGCTTTCTACGAGACTCTCAAGAGGGAGAAGTCAGACAATTTTGGAGCTTGTTTCATTTCAGGATTGCTTGGTTCCTTTTATGATAGGCTCTTCCCAACCGCCACTTTACATTTTGTGCATTCTTCCTACAGTGTTCACTGGCTCTCTAAGGTTAACATCTTTTATTTATCTGTTAAAAGCATGTTTGACCCCTTTGCCCATTTTTTAATAACTCTTTAGCTGAGACTCTCATACATATAATGTCATTATCTATAAAATCTCATTACATATATCTATCATGAAAGTAAAAGTAGACATATCATGCACACGTGAGATTATTCAAGACACACAGGCCCACTTCCCTGTAAGGCTGTAACTTTTTCCCATGATGGCCTCCTGATCCATCCAGCTAATTGACCCTAAAACCTTACTCATTTTCAATTTTTATCCCCTAACTAATTTTAATTAAATTGATTAGGTTCCGGAAAATCTCGAGAACAACAAAGGGAATATATACATGGCAAAGTCAAGCCCTCCTAGCGTGTATAAAGCTTACTTGGAACAATTCCAGAAGGATTTCTCACTATTTCTAAGCTTAAGGTCTGAAGAAATTATTTGTGGAGGACGTATGCTTCTCACTTTCTTTGGAAGGAGTGTCGCAGATCCCTGTAGCAAAGACTGCTGTTACCTTTGGGAGCTGCTAACAAAATCCATTCTTGAATTGGTTGATGAGGTTAACTATTATTTTTATACTCAAATTCAATCAGTAAGTAAATTTATGAAATGATCTCAACACTGCTGATGATATATGTTTCTTTAGGGGCTGGTTGAAGAGTCGGGATTGGATTCATTCAATTTGCCACTTTATACACCATATGCAGAGGAAGTAAGAGAGATTGTTGAAAATCAGGGATCCTTCAATCTTGAGAAGATAGAAATTTTTGAGGTGAATTGGGATCCCAATGACGATGTAGACAACAAAAAATTTGTTTTCAACAAGAAGAAAAGTGGAAAAAGTGTTGCAAGTTGCATTAGAGCTGCTACAGAACCCATTCTTGCTAGTCATTTTGGAGAGGGTGTGACAGACACTTTGTTCGCTAGGTACGCAAAACATGTGGCTGAGCATCTCGCTTTGGAGAAGACCAAATTCATCAATATAGTTGTCTCCATAACGAAGAAGCAAACTGCCCATCACGTTAACATAACATATATAAGTAAAACTAAAGTGCATTGGATAAGTGAACTTTTTATTATGTAATTCTGTTGCCAGTTTGAGCTTATATTATGGGAATAACTCCATTTCTGTTTAGAAATGGAATGTTTATGTAAATTTGTAATCTTGTTTTGGAAGTAATCCTAAATTTTAAATAAGATTTCGGAAGAAATACAAATAAGAAGAACAAAGTTTTGCAGTTCTAGCTATTGTTTCCTGCAGTACAGACAGCAGATACAGAGATAATTTTTCTTTCTTTCTTTATTTTTGTTAATTTTTTCCTAATGATGAGTTAACTGGTTTCAATCAAAATGGATGAATTCCGCTAATTAATATGATGTTTTCAAACGGTGTTAAGGATAATCAAATGTGTATTGACAAGTAGTAAAAAGTGTACAAATACTAATAAGGAAGCTATGTCCTACTTAATTATAATTACAGACTGTTATCCTTTATGATTATGACCCTGTTCCCTTGACATGATTATCCTCCACATGTATGGTTTTAGTTTTTTATTATTTTCAATTGAATTGTGAACTTCACATTTATTTGTTGCTTGTGGTTCATTCATTTTTATCCAAACTTATATATTGTGGAGAAGAATTCGCCAGAGTTATTGAAGTATTAAGTTGTCCAGTTTGAGGGGAAATGTTGAAAAGAATTCAACACTGTTCATCATGGAATGTCCGTTCATCTATCCAGGCAAGTTGTTCCATATGGAACGATCTCGTACCTCACACTTTGCCTAATCTGAGCAAAACTCCAAGCAAGCTTTCCATACGGAACAACCTCGTTCCTTAAGCCGTTACACACTCTTCCCAATCTGAGCAAAACTTCAGGCAAGTCGTTCTATAAGGAACAACCTCGTTCCTCAAGTCGTTACACACTTTGCCCAATCTGTGCTAAACTCCAAGTAAGTTGTTCCATACGAAACAATCCTGTATTCCTGTTCCTCAAGACTGTTCATCATGGAACGCCTGTTCCACATTAAGGAACGCCCATTCCTCTATCCTTCAAGCTGTTAAGTTGCAATATTGATAAGCAGGGCCGGACCCAGCCCCTTGGGCCTACCCTCACACTTTAAAAAAAATTGTTTATATAAACCCCATACAACAATTGTTACAATTCGTTTTATTCGTTGTTAAAACTTTTAAAGGCCCAAATTATTGAAGCTTTCATTCATTAAGGCGTCGTAATTAGTTTTATTTTCTATTTCCTTAATTTTAGATATATGTATTACTCATTTCATTTTAATTTATTTTAGGGTTACATTATGATTATTTTTTAGAGGTTTTTTATTCTAATTTGATAAAAAAAAGACATAGATCTTGTCAGTTTATTTTGTATTTTGTGTTTAATAATTTTCTTGCTTTTTCAAATCAAACTTTAACTATATTTTACTGAATGTTATTCTTCACCTTTCACTCACCACTTTTCTACATTTCAAACGTTACCGTTTAGCTGCTTAAAATTATTAAAGATGTTTGAGTTATTATCTATGTTTATACTAAGAAAAATTCCTTTTTTTTATATTAATTCATATTAAAAGTCAAGGCAACGTTGACTTAATTTAAATTTTAGTTAACTTTAGCTTAGACTAGGCTTGATCAAAGTTATAAAAATTTATATTATAATCTTTGAAAGCAAAAATAATAATAATAATAATAATAATAATATTAAAAGAAAAAAAAAAGATAAATAAGAAATTTGTGTAGAACATTTTTGGTGGATTGTGATTGTTGTAAACTCTTCCAATTATATTGGATTTAAGTGGATTATTAGATTCTCGTGGTCTTTTGCTCTAATTGAAGAGGTTTTTTTCACATAAAAAATTTATTGTGTTTCCTTGTGAATTGAATGTTTTTTTCAACATAATCTGCTCAAAGTTTTGCTTCTCATAGATTTATTCAAGTGATAAAGAAATGTGTTGTTGCATTATTTTCTTTCAGATTATTGATATTATATTATTTCATTTGCTTAAGGTTTTGTGATTTTTGAAATTTTTCACTAGTTGTTTGACAAACAATGGCGGAGCCACGAAGGCCCTCCCTCGACAAAAATCCTGGGTCGTCACTATTGACAAGTAGCTTGGGTTAAATTGCAATATGTAAAACTTAGTTTGGTTCAGAATTTAATGCTTGTATCTAGGCTATAAAAGAATGCCGCGTATTGTTTTGTAATTCAGTTGGACAGTTTATGAAAATATCTTCTTCTTCTGCAATTTTGCTTTGTTCTCTAATTTTTTTTCGATTCTGGAAAGTTCTTCATATATGCTGTTACTTTCCTTTTGTAGAAGAGTATCTTCTCCAACATTCTTCATTCTCTGAGAACTCGCTTGTATTATTCTATTAAATTCAATTTTGACGGGCAGCTGTGATGATATTGAAACAAATTCCTTTTTGTTTTTCATAATTTTCTTTATCTTGGGAAATTACATTTTAATCCTTGAATCTTCTCTAACAAAATATACTTATTTCCTTTTTCCCTTTTAATGTAAGTTTTGATCCAAAACTAATCTATATAATTCCTTTCTAAGAGATAGTACAACTTGGCAAGATTGCAGTTTATTGAAGACCCGGCAGTAAAACTCTAGATACATATAAAGATGCAACTTATATTTTTATCACAGTTTGATTGAAAATATATACAATAATATTTTGCTTACAACTGAGTCATACAATTATATTATATAACCAGACAAAAATTTTACAAAATTTATGTAAAATGACTACTCTATCTTTTCTTTTTTGTCTGGTTGAATGACTCAGTTGTATGATTGCAACTTCCAAAAATTTCGGAATTTATGGATTTATGAGGAAATTTTTTGTGTTTTGTTTGGAATTTTGTTTATTTTCTTAGATTAATTTGTATGTCAATGATAGTATTATGATTGCAATAACATGTAACATGTAGAAGCCGTTATTTTTTGCCTTGGTTTAAAGATGATTTTGAGCATTAATTGCATCTAGTTTGAGACTCTATTGGTTTTTGGTATGAATTGTTGATCATTCTAAATGCTTAGAGAAGTTTTATGTATAAATTTTTCATAAGACATTTTTGCGATTTCAACAAACTCTAGAACTTACTTGATAACCACTTGAGGCGAAATCCTAAAATTTACATTAATTAGGAAATGATTTATGCTACTATTTTTTTGACCGACTAAGCTTTTCAAGCCAACCATTTATTTAATTATCCTTAGTTAACCCTTTCAGCAGTTTATAAACACATTTTAACCTTATTTTTCTTTCATTTAGCCTATTATAACCTACCTTGATGATGAGCCTAAAACACATTCCTACCTTTAATTTTTTTTTTTAAGAGACATAATTCTAGCGCAAACTTGGTGCAGAGTACTTAGACAAGTGATGGTGGAGAGTTATGAAGTTTTCTTTCCACAACTTGAATTTATGCAAAGAAATATGTTGGGGGTTGTGGAGCATTTAGAATGTTAAGGTCGGTTTGTATGTTGCTTTCTTCCTTACAAATTATTTTCTTCTTAAAAAAATTTAAAAAAAAAAAAAAAGGAGAACAGAAAAGAAAAGGAAGAGAAGAAAAGTTAGGAAGAATTGTGAATTAAGAAACATTGTGGGGGTGTGAAAATGTGCAAGTGGGTTTGTGCCAGTGTTGAAAGGAAAAGCTCAATAAAGTTTATGAAATGTTTGGTGAAATAATTGATTGAGATGAGAAGGAATGATGATTAAGTCTAAGGCTTCGTATATCTAATATCTAATTCTGACGTCTTTCTTATTAAAAGTAAAAAAATTAAAAGAAAAGGTTGTCTCGAGTGTACTTTAGATACGCATTCACAAATCCTTACTTAATTTGATTATTCTTTAATTTTAGGCTATTCATGATGTATGTCGGATTCGAATTACCTTAGTTTTCAGATGCTCATGTAGCTAGCAATAGCTTAATATTTGCTATATAGTATATAGTATATATTATGATGAGAGAAAAAATAAAAAAATGGAAGAATAAACAGTGAAGATTAACTGACTTTTAATTAATTACCAACCTTAAACACAACACACAAATGGGGACCAACGACGCAACAACTCGTGTAAATGTAGTTGCACACTAAGACACATGGTACCAGACACACTACATTTATTATAACATTAAATTGCGTAGACAGCATCCTTCATGATGCTCACTTTCAATTAATTAAAAACATAGTAAAGGAGTTTGTCATTAATCATCCAGCCTTTGCGAGGGAAATTGTGACATTGACAAATTCAGTCTTCTCTTTAGCCATGCGATCCGCAACTATTTTACTGTACTTGTTGAAAACTTCATCAATTATTGCTTCACCAAAGTGACTAACAAGCAAAGGTTCAGCCACAGCTCTCATACATTGTGCCACATTGTATCCTCCATCCTGTAACTGTAACTGCAATGCATCACCTCCGTTAAACTCGTTGCTGTATGCATTCCAGTTTACTTCCGTAACCTCAATCCGATCAATCCCAAATGATCCTTCTTTCATAGCTTCACATTTTATTTCACTTGGTGATGGTGTATATTGCGGAATGTTGAAGGAATCCACTTTCTTTTCTTCTATAATTCCCTGCATAGTCAGTTAAATCTCCTATATTATTGCTTGAAAAACTTGTGGTTTTGAAGAAGGGTACGTGTTTCTGTTTCTGTACTTACCTCTGATGCCATTTCATTGAGAGCCATAGCCAAAAGTTCCCATATGTAACAACATTCTTTGCTTGAGGGATCGTCGCTCCTTCTTCCCAGAAATGTTAAAACCATACGCCCTCCTGCTACCAGTTCTTCCGAACGACACTTTAAAAACACTGAAAAATCTGTTTGGAATTGCTGATAATAAGCTTTAAGCACACACGGTGGACTTGTACTAGCCATGTAAATGTTTCCTTTGTTATTCTCTATCCCTTGTGGGACCTGTTAACATAATTTCATCGGTAAATTTATCACTCTAAATTAATAATTATGAACATAATGTTTTTTAAAACCACAATATCACCTTAGATAGCCATTGGAGACTATATGAAGAGTGGAAAATATTGACACTCTTGCTAGGGAAAAGCCTGCCATAGAAAGAGCCAGGAACCCCTGTGAAGAAACAGAGATCACCACCACAGCCCATCTGTTTTCTGAGTTTTTCTTGAACTCTTGGCAAAGACCTGAATATGGTGTTAAAATCATTCCCTGGAAGGTCATTGAAGAACACTTGAAATTCTGGTGGTTGATTGCCCAGCTTTTTGCAGATATTGCTCACTATTTTGATAAATTCAGATACCACGAGCGTAGTGTTTGGTCCTGAAGAACAACCCAAGTCTGCGATAACTAGTTTGGTTGGGAAACTTGTTGAGTAGAGTTTTGTTATGGCTTCCTCTCTGATGGGTTTTGTCATAGATATTACTTTTTTCTGTTCCAAGAAGACGATCAACGTTATATTTTGTGAAAAACTAGTTATATCGATGCATGTGACATATATTTGAGTGAATGAGCACTCTTTTTTTTAGCCTCTGGGATTTGTATAATAAAACTGATTGACTTAATTTTGTGGTAAATATGCATGAAGTTAGAGACCTGTTCTTCAGTTATATATGTAAACTCTTCTGATCAAATAATAAAAATGAGTATTATATTATAAATATACCTGAACTATAGAATTGTTGGCGTAACTTGCTTCTCCTACTCCTCCGTTCATGTGAAGCACTTGAACCACTTCCATGATTTCTATGTATCTCTTCTCTCTCTCTCTCTCTCTCTCTCTCTCTCTCTCTGTGTTTCTTCTGCTTTCGCTTGTATAAATTCAATACTAGTTACCGTATTTATAGGCAGTTGCTGCTCTCACCAATTTTTTTTTTGGGAAATCATCTAATCAAACTACAGTACCCCCAACGTGCATCGCGTTTCTTCAGTTTTATCCGAACTAAAGAATTTCAAACTAAAATGTTAGCGAACTCCTATAATTATTGTACATTGTCAAAGATTTATTGAACTCATTTATCATGGTGCCGTCACTTACTAAATTAAATGAATTTTGAAAAGAATAATGCTACAGACACCGATGTTTTGCACCAAAATATTAAACCAAACGATGTGTCACCTGAATCAGACAAATCACGTAACACGTTAAGTAATATTTTGCAAATGATATGGTTGGCCGTCCATTTTTATTGGATAATAGTTCATTTGAAATGGACTCTCGTCCATACTATATGGATGAAAGTTCATTTACTATGGACGAGAGTCCACCTATAAGGACATTCATCCATAGTTTAAATTAAAAAAATTTAATAAAAAAATCATGAACGACTTGTCCATTATTTCAATTAAAAAAAGAAAAATTTGAAAACAAAAATAATCTCATTCTTTTAACCAAAGTATGGGAATATTCATGACACTTGTTTCTTTACATTATTTTTTATTTCATATGGTGGACCCCTTGACTGCATATGCATGTAACCTTTCTTTACTTTATTTTTTTATTGCAGACGGTGGACCTTTGATTGTTTTGATGTATGTAGTTCAAGTGATGATCTTCTATTTACTTAGTGTTTGTGCTTGAAAGTAAATAGAAATAGTAGTTTAGAAGAAGAAAATAGAAGGAATATTGCAAGAAAGAGGAGATTCTATTGTAGACCAGAGTCCCTATTTAATAGATAGAAATGGATAGGAGTCCATCTAAGAGAGACGCTCAGTCCATTATTTTTTTCTTTTTTAATTTAAATAATGGACAGACATTCATCTAATAGGAACCCATATCTATTAAATAGGGACGCTCTTCTATAATATATGAATGGATATCCATAATTTTTGTTATCAAATTTTTTTAATTTAAATTATGAACGGATATCCTTATAGGTGGACTCCTGTCTAATAAGTAAGGACGTTCATCCATTTCAAATGAACGAATGGATGACTGTTCATTCACGAAATATTTTTTAATATATTACGTGGTATATCTGACTTAAGTAATATATCATTCGATTTAATATTTCGATACAAAGCATCAGTGGTGTCCATAGCATTATTGTTTTGAAAAATAAAAGCTAATTGCTTTTGTCCTTTACACCTTTAGGTTGACGTGCGCAATTGACAACCACCAATAACTTTTTCTATGGAAAGATTTTGAAATTCAAAACATCGTTACAAAATCTACGACCACCAACCATTTGAAAACACGTGGTTGAATATTTTGCCATATACATTAGTAAATTGATAAATTGTAATGCAAGTAACTATCACTACGTTGCAACCACGGCATATTTTTGTTGATTGAGCCCACTAGGATCCTTCAAGCCAACAATTCCATGTGATTCACAACGATTGAGGGACTTTTCCCACTTAATGGTTTTTAGGCTGGATAAAATTCACCCTATAACCACCTTTAAATAGTTTGACGATTCACTTAGTATTCTTAGATATATTACCCAAAAAGTGTTGAGTTCGCATCTTTATGATTACTAATAAGGAATTATCATTAAAAGTTTATTTGACTGTTAACTTTAGGACTCTAAAAAACTAATTGAATTACTTGTAAACTGGTTTAGACACTCTCAAATGTAAAAAAAATAAAAAATAAAAAATAAAAAAATAAAATAAAATCGACCCCCTATATTTCATCAAACAACAACCAAAACGAAAAACACATACAAGAAAGCCAGAAATGATTCAAGTGAGAAAATCAGAGGAAAGATAGCGACCCAGACCAACATAAAAGTAGTGATATATTTGTCATTGTGTTGTCAATAAAATATAGAAAACCAATTACGGAAAGTGATGAGTATGCTATCATCATACTGCTGTGGTCACAATGTGTTACGTAAGCCCCCATTACGTCGTTAAATCCATGTACGTTTAAATTTAAAAGCCCTTAAATAGATTTATCATTTATCCAATTGAATTTCTAATTATTTCTCTCTCTATTATTACCAGATTATTCTTACAGGACGATGAATCTAGCTTAATAGTCAATTGTTATGTAATTTTAATATAGGGATTATTACATGGTAATTTAAAGAAATTTAAGAAGGTATAATTTTATGTTGTAAAGATGAAATCTTGTTAATACAATGGCATAATTGGAGTCGCTATCTTTTGCTGTAACAGTAACATGGAGCTCCATGTTCTCATGGTTGTAAATTATTTTACTTTAGGATTTTAAAAAATTAGTTAAAGTACAGGAAATCAAATACCCTCAATAAAAAAAATGAAATCCATGTAAATACAATAGCATAATTGGAGTCTCCATCTTTTGTTGTAACAATAACATGGAGCTCCATGTCCTCATGTTGGTAAATTATTGATAGAGATGGAGCAGTGTACGTATACCTAGGATATGAGATGCGACAATACTGACCACAATTTTCAGCTTTATTGTTATAAACTTATAATTCATTGAACAGCACATTTACACAACTGACGCTCAGTACATAATATGACATAATTCACACCGACATTATTCCACGACCGCTGAATCCTGTCAGCCTCAATTGCGCTTATCTTTTTCATGTGGTAATATATTATCACACATGATTAACCAAGAACTTTTGTTTTTCTGTACCCAAATCAGTTTCATTACGTATACATATTATTCACCACTAAATACTCGCGGTCAGTTCGCTCGGTTCCAATTCTTTTAATCCCTTGAGTTACACGTGTATGCTTCTAATTGCACCCTTATGCGGCTGAGTTCATACAACTTAACCTCTATATTCTTTTTTCTGGCAAACTTTGACAGAACGATAGAATTTATTTTATTAGAAAAAAATAATAAAATACAAATGCTCAAAGGACGTAATGGCCTTATCCCTAAAGAAGGGATCAATACACAGGAAATAATTAAAAAAAAAAATTCTTAATATGCAATATGAGTTAAGAAAACTTTGGTTAATAAAGACAAAGTCTATCATTTCCTTTTGAAAGGGGAATCAGTAATCAGCTTAACCGAAGGCAAATGTCGAGGATGACAGAAGACTGTAAGTAAGTATATTGAGAGCTTTACACGGAGCAAGCGGGAGATATAAGTTATGCAAAGTGGAAAGATCATGCATTGAGCACACATGGCCCTAGCGCAAACTCGAGCAAACAAGGCAAAGCTAGGCTTACATAAACATTAGGCTTAATATCTTCAAAACCACCTTATTACGTCCCAATAAACATAAAAAAAATATACATATATCTAGAGTACGTAGCTGTAGCATTCTATGGCAAGGAAGTGGAAAAACCAAAGGGCAACCAATTCCAAAGAACATTAGCAAATAGAATATTATCTAATGATTCAACACAATGAAAATAAGCACTTANAATACTATACCTGCGTCAGCCATTGTTCCAACAGAGAGCAGATTTCTACTCATACCAGGGATGTGCATCACTTCAGGGAGCGTCCTCACTGAACCATCATGCAACCTCAGCCTGATTTTCCCGCGGCCAATAATCTTCACAGCAGTATCATCTCCTAACAGAACGTTTCCTCCATTGTATGTCTCATACTCACAAAACCATTCCTTGTGAGGTGTCATATGGAACGACGCACCAGTATCAACATACCAAACTGATTGGTCTGATCCAGCCATACATGCAGCAGCCACATACATATCACCATTTGATTCCCGTTTATACGAAGTTTCAGCTTCCTTCCCCTTCACCGGTTTGTTTCTACAGTCTTTCTTAAAATGCCCAAATTCTTGACATCTCCAGCATTTAATCTTACTTTTATCCTTGCTCTTAGATCTACCTCGCGACTTTCCCCTGTCGCCAGACTTATTAGAATTCCTATCAAGGTTTTGTCTCCTAGCAGTTAAAGCATCCCTAGACGAACCCTCTGAACCTCTTCACCGCATATCCTCTGCCAACAATGTAGAACATACAGATTCCCATGACATCTGTGTCAATCCTCCACCACCAATCGCAACAATCAGATTGTCCCACGTATCAGGCAGCGAGCATAACAGTGTTACCACTTTCTCAGATTCGGTGAGTTGTACATCCATAGCCAGCAGTTGATTCACCAGAGTATTAAACTCATCCAGATGTGCAGCAAGAGAATCCCCATCATGCATACTTAGATTGTATAGTTTCTTGCGACGGAACAACACGTTCACCAAAGACTTACTCAAATACATATTTTCCAGCTTCTGCCATAAACCCTTAGCCGTATCCTGATCCATCACATTCGTTAGAACAGAGTCCTCAAGACAGATGCGAATCAAACCTCTGGCTTTCCGATCCATCTTGTCCCATTCAGCAAGTGCGTCACGATCAGTCGCTGATAATTCTCCTTCAGCAGGTTTAGACCCAAGCGTACTTGACAATCCAGTTCCAGACGTTTCACTCGTTGTAACAATGGCAGTCCCGACTGTCGGCCTATCATTCACAATTGCACCCCACAGGTCCCTATCAACGAGTAGATCCTCCATCCACAGTTTCCAAAGCTCGAAGTGTTTTCCGTCGAACTTCTCAATCTCAACCTTTGATCCCGCCATCTCTAAATCACGATCTAAGAGAACCTTGCTCTGATACCAATTGAACGAAATAGAGACAACAACAGGAACAAAATAATAATAGTAAAACAAAACAAATAGTAAACAAAGAAAATAACCCGCGCGATTTACCTTGGTTCACCCAATGTGGGCTACGTCCAGCTGAGTCAATATTATTGCAATATGCCTCACCTCTCTCGTTTACAATGAATGAATTGCTCTAACACTCATAACAAGAGAAAAGTATGTTTATATACTAGGTTTAAGAGATTAAACCTAGTTTTACAAGGATTCTTATTCCTAAG